CTGTTCAGGACACGTTACATATTCGGTCTGTACTCTTTGAGCTCGGATTCCCCATCAGGGTACCTGTTACATTGCTATGTGATAATATTTTCGCCTCTTACTTGACTGAAAATCCTATTCAACATGCACGAAGCAAGCACATTCAGATCAACTATTATTTTGTTCGCGAGAGAGTTGTTCATGGTGATTTACTAGTCCAACATGTTCCTACTCATTTACAGCTGGCAGATATTTTTACTAAAAGTCTTCCTAGTCAACGTTTTCATTTTTTAAAGGACAACCTGCGCGTTGTATCTCTCGCACAGTTTGAGGGGGTGTAATAGTCTAGAAATATTACTGTATTTTAAACACTACTCTCTTATTATAAATATACCTGTCAGGACCCCTTAGAGGGTAACCTATTCCATTATCTCACATAATGGTCCCTATAAATAAATTCATGTAGTTTCTAAAGTGAATGAGAAGAGATATAACAAGTAATCTCTATAAATCATCCCAACTTTTAATTTTTACGCTTAATTCTATTTAAAATTCACTTGTTATGGGAGGTAATATCTTGTCATGGACCATTATTGGAGGACGGTCCATATAATTGGGATTATACAAAAATAATTAATAGTTGGGATTATTATGAGCGGACCGGCCATAGTTGGGGTTATTATTTTCAATTTTTCCTATTATATAACACATTTTTACTTTTTTAGGGGTCTCAATTCATCATTTAGAACATGAGCTTTAAAAAGTATATAAGATTGTCTTTTAGATACTTTGATCATAATTTTTTTAATGATCAACCATAATTTATATAATATCTAAAGTTGACCTCGTCGACAATTTTAAAGTGTATCAAACATGTTCTTTAGATCTTCTACAAGAACTCTTTTTCCGTTCGTATTTTTCTTTAACTTCCGTCAAGCTTCCTCCACTCTATCTCTCAACCTTTTGATCTTTCACTGATTGTTTCAGTTTTCTATCTTTTCCTTTCGGTGGCCGGATCACAAAAATAGATTGTATGATATTATCTTTTTCGAATTACAACAAAAAGTTACAAATCATAAAGGGATTGGAGTATACATATTGTTAGAGCATCTCAAATACTATAATGTACATGGTGCACATGTGGCATGAGTGATATCCACATAAATATTAGCAAATAAATTATCTTCCTCCTGATTTGAATGATTTTATACAATTTTGGTAAGTTTTTCCCTGCAATGTCAACAACAATGTCAACATCTAGACGGTCTCCTTGACATTGTGGAGGAAAACTTACCAAAACTATATAAAATCATTCAAATAAGGAGAGAAAGAATTTATTTACTAATATTTATGTGGCTATATTTCTCATTCCACGTATGCACCGTACACATTTTAACATTGGAGATGTTCTTGAAGGTAAAAGTGAAAAGTACTTTCATGGAATTACATCATACAAAAATATACTACTGTATATACCATAGATTTCAGAGACCTAGGGATGAGTAGCAATCATCATACTAATAGATAAAGTATGTTGGAAATAAGAACTAATTTTGTGAAATTAAACTCCCAACGTGTAGTACAACAATTATCTATACATATATTTATTTGTACGAGTGCGGATATTTTAAATGCTATCCCTTTGGGTGTGTTTGGAACGAGTGCGGATATTTTAAATGCTATGCCTTTGGGTGTGTTTGGATAATGGCGGATCAGCTATATTTTGGCGGGTTTGACCATCTTTAGCGGTTCTGTTTTAGTCAAACCTCTAATTTAGGTGTTTGGTTAATGGCGGATTGCATTGGCGTTTTTATCCAACCCGCCATGATGGCGAAACTCAAATCGCTGCTTGGAGCAGCGTTTGAGACTGACGATTTTCATTGTATCAATCAAAAGACTACTTTATCCTCTATGTAAATAACTTACCGACATGATGAAACCACCATTAATGGAGGTTCAAAGTTGAACAAACCGTATAAACTTAGCCGATCTATGGATAGAGAATTAAAAAATGAAATACTTGTAAAAATGGATAGTAATATTCTTGTAAAAAACCCATAACCTCTTGCATAGTATTTATTTGATGAAAATCACATATTACGGGTTTCTCATTGTTTCTGCTATTTAAAGCTATTATTTTAGGAAGCATATCAAAACCCAGGACTAAACGGGTTTCATCTTATCCTCAGATTCACCTTTAGAATTCTCTATATCTTCAATTCCTTTTTAAGTCTCAAGCCTTAAGGGCAACTTCTCTTTCATTCCTTGCATCTTCAACATCTTATTCTTGCAGCCCAAATCCATATGTTAAATTACCGTGGTCTTTGGTTCCCACATAGAGAGGCTAAGCTCCTATATGGGTGCAGAGTTAAATTTGTCCATTAATTTTGTGCTTTGACAATTTTGATACTCAATTTTGATATTTTCATTTTTTATCCTCGACTATTTTAGTTATTCGACTTTCATAAAAGTGACATTTTTTGTCTTTCAACTATTATAATAGTGATTTTTTAGTCTTTCACTTATTGAGTCAAAATCATACTGGAATGACTAAATGTGTCAATTTTAATACTCAGAGAGAGGAACTTTGAGTTGATGACAAAAAGTGTCTCTAATACAATAGTTGAAACTTAAAAATGAGAAGAAACAAAAGTTGAGTACTAAATGTGTCACACAATAGTCGAGAGAACGAAAGTAACAAAATCTCTATAAAATTCAACGCATTGATGCAGTTAGGCATGAACCGCTACCGGGCTGGGCTCCGGGCCGGTCCAAACTGGAACATAATTTGTTGGGGTAAACTAAGGTCCGGTACGAGCCCGGGATTCAACCGGGACCAGGCCAGGCTGAGACCAAATTAGGCCGGGACACGGTCAAGTCGATTCTATTAATTTTTTTAGCTTTCTTATTTATTCACCCCCACCCCACCCCACCCCAAACCCCGCCAAAACACTCAGCCCACCTACCATAGCCCCAAACCCAAAAATTCAAAAAAAATAAAAATAAAAAGGCCCGGACCGGCCGATCCCCATTTTCCTGCACCCGGAGCCCGCCCTGAAAACCCCCTCACTAGGCCGGTCGACCCGGTCCCGATCCCGGTTGGCGGGTCAAGCCAGTACTACACAGTACTGGCCTGATATTTACTAAACGACGAGTGGTTACAAGAACATGGTTTCTAATATGTAGATAAAATTTATAGCGGAGCCATCAATTTGATAATAAGAACCGATGTTGGAAAGAAGAAACATTAAATATTTCTAAATTAATAGCAGTTAAAAAAATGTAAATGAAAAATATGTATACAAATACCAAAATATTTCTAGACAAATGAGGAAGGATGTTTTTACTTCATCAAACCAAATCAGACCAGATTTGGGTAGTTGTAAAAATACAAAGAAACCAAACCAAACAAACCATTTCAGATCAGACCAGACCTGCAAATTACAGTCCAAGTACAAAAAATAATACGGAGTATTAAGTTTCAGTTTAATAGAATAATAGGTATGGGAGGCCTTTTTGCAGGATTATTTCCACGCCATAGGCATAGACCCGGCCCAGTTTGGGCCTGGGCCCGACCGGGCCTCAGTTCAGGAAAGGGGAGGCCCGGAACCAGCCCGAGTAACCCCCGAGTCCGGCCGGGCCGGGCCTCGATTCAATTTTTTTTTTGCCTTTTCCTAATTAACCCCTAACCACCCCCCTCACCCCCAAACCATCCTAAACCATCTCAAATGACCCAAAATACCCAGCCCAACACAAAAACTTAAAAAAAATTCAAAAAAAAAAAAAGAAAAAATAAAAATAAAATGGCCCGGACCGGGCCCGAACCAGCCAGGCCAGTTCACGTTTTGAGGTGGGCCGAGCCCGGAACGGAACCCCAGCAGGTCGGGCCTATCCAAATCGGTCACTGACCGGGCCATCGGGCCGGGCCAGAAAAGTACCGGTTCGGGCCGGTTCCAGGTCGGGCCACCCGGCCCGAGTCCATCTCTGCCACGCCATTTAGAGCACAAATAAGAATTGACTAGTGATATGTTTAAGAATATCCATAGTATACACAATTACTGTTAGGAACCAAACTGGCCAAGTATGTAGACAATTGTAAGAACCAAACTGTTAGGAACCAGACCAGAACAAGATCGAGCAAAACCAATTACTAGTAGACCAAGTATATATGTACATCAAGGGGTGACTGGTCCACCGCTGAACCAAGACCATAAGGCCTATTTGTCAGCATTGTCCATAAACTAACTACAGCTAGTGCAAGAAATGATTTGAGCTACACCATGAACTCATGAAGAGAATAGTGATAGGAAAATAGGGATAAGAGTTTATATCGAGAAGCTGTTCAGTTCATCTTATTGAGTCATTCTCATTACAAGGATTCATATAAAATAAAATAGGATTCGAACCATATAAAAAATGTTCAGTTTGGAAAATAAGAACTAGTGATCGAAGCCTAGATTATATTTCAGAATGGCATTCTTCAAGTGTTCTGCAAATCGTAGGATGCACAAAGTACTCTTCAAGTGTAGAATATAAACACATAACAAGGTTCCCAATGCATCAATGCCCAAATTAAAATCATTAAACACCAAAAGGAAATAAACTAGAATATCAAGCCGCGGGCCACCAGCTAGGAACACAGAAGAAATAACAAATTGACAAATGCATATCAAGGTTCACTAACCACAACAGAAACTTGACTCACAATGCATCTCCCAAATTTAAACATTGATCATATTACACAATGTTTTAACGAGTGTATAGAATATAAACAAAAAAAAAGGTTCTAATTCCAACAAAAATTTGGATCAATGCATCACCCAGATTTCCACGTTGATCATATTACCCAATGTACTTGTGCCCAAATCAAAATCATCAAACACCAAACAGAAATAAACACCAATATCAAGCAACAGACAACCAGCTAGGAACTCAGATGATATAAAAAAAATAACAAGGTTCACTAACCACCACAATGACTTGCATCAATGCATCTCCCAGATTTAAAGGTTGATCACATTACCCAATATATCGATACCCAAATCAAAATCATCAAACCACAAGAGAGGATCACAGAAGAAATCATATACAACAGTGTGTTTTGTGATTTGCATTACCAGAGAAAAACTGAAAACTGTCATATTTCGGCATTAAAAATTAGATTCACTAAGATATTAATAGAAATATCAACCATAATAGGGTTCATAAGTTCTTGATACGAGATATGAGTATGATAAACTTATCAAAAATGTCTGCAAACCAAAAGCTAACATCTCAAAGAAACTTTAGACTCTAGTCATCAAACAATCCCAGCCCCATTTCCTCTTCACTCTCGGACTCAATGGCCTCCTGAAAAAACAAGCATTTACACCCTTGGTAAACACATCAATCATAGAGGATCTCTACATACTTAGAGCACTTTCGGAAATTATTACGATGATATATAAATATATTAACTAAATCACTGCCAGATAATTCACAGGTATTCTCACCTTCTTCTCTTCAGCGGCAGGAGCAGCAGCGGCAGCGGCACCACCAGCGGACGGGGCAGCAACGGCAACCGCAGCACCACCACCGCCACCACCTACGTTCGTGATGAGGTCATCGATGTTCTTCTTCTCACAGAGCTTGGCGAAGAGGCTAAACCAGTAGGACTCCACCTGAACGTCGGCCGCCTTCACGATCGTGGCGATCTTCTCCGCCTGCATAACCACAAATGATTACAATTAACCAGCAATCGGAGGAAAAGGAAACGGAGAGAGTAGATGGTGAATGAGATCCGGGGAGGTGATTAGAGTATTACAGTGACGGGGATGCCTTCCTCGTGGAGGATCAGAGTGGCGTAGGTGCAAGCGATTTCTCCGACCGACATTTTTCGGCAATGACTACACAGATACGCCGGATTAGGGGTGTCAACGACGGCGAAGGAAAAGAGAAAGCAGTGATAAAGGAGCACAATAAACGCTGATACCTGAAGGGAAACGGCGGCGAAGTCTGTAGGCACTCGATTCAGAATGACGGTAAGGCTTTTGCGCTTCTGGGCGAACCCTACTCCTTCTTGTAGACTATGTTGGGCCTCTTAACAAGTAGGCTAAGCATTTCATTGGGTCATTGGTCGTTAAATTGGGGATTCTATTTCCTGTCCCCAATTACTATTTGGCTAATTCTAAATACAGCCTTCAAAATACTACGTGCAGCCCCGGGACGATTATAAGTATTTGAAATTCCTATTTTATCCTTATAATTGCAAAAACTCAATAGATCGATGAGTGGACCTGCAGGTGTAGTTACATTGTATATTCGTATCTCCTTGGATATCGCTATAGCAAATTAGTTTTTGGAATTCATATACTCTGTACATCAACAAATAATTTTAACTCTTTTTAAATGATGTTGTTAGACTGCTAGTCATATTTAGATGAAGATTTTGACAGAAAATATAAAACTAAAAGGAATGAAGAAGGATGGGATGGGCGCTCCACGGAAATGGAGTTCGTGATTTCCAGAGGAAAGAGGCCGTGATGTTCGTGTGTTAATTTTGTGTGGCCAACGAAGATGAATTGAAAGTGGAGGAAGATACACCGCATAACACTCTGTATGAATGTATGATAAAGTACTATGAGACTCTCGGTATGTTTTAAAATAAAGTACTAAATACTTAAAAGGGTAAATTTGATAACTTAATTATTACGTAAGATGGTGGGGGCTGTATTTAGAAAAATTAGGGCTGCAATTAGAATTACCCTTACTATTTACTGCCATTAATTAAATATTACTCCGTAATAAATAGAATTGGTTCAAATATGTAAACTACCCCTACAAATAAATACTCCCTGTCCTCGAAAGAATTTTCGATTTGACCTACACATATTAACGAAATAAATTTAATTTTGCTGTAGAGTACACTATTTGACACTGTTTTGATGTATATAACTTTCTATTTAAGAAAATGAGAATTTAAATTAGGGACATCCAAATAAGGAAAATAGGAAGTTGTTCAACAAAGTTAAACAACAGATTTCATAACAACTCTACCTTAATTTTGTTTTAATTTGAGATATTTCTTAGCTTGTTCATGTACCTATAAACATGGTGGAAAAATTATTCCACGTATAAATAGCTATATAACGAAAGTCATATATCCATTGAGGAAATTGTCTTTTTATTTCCTTAAAAATAACTGATAATCTAATTTTCCACGTATTCAATTAATCTTGTATTTCCTTAAAAATAACTGATAATATAATTTTCCACATATTCAATTAATCTTGTATTTAAGCCCTTACAAATAGAACTATAAAAGAGCTTATCAGATAACCAACTATAGTTTCGTGGACCCTGGCCTTGGGTCATATACTAGCATACCGTGGAGAACGAATCGTCGAAACAACTCGAACTCAGCGTGGAGTCGTAGTCAATGTAACCAACTCGTGACCCAAAAACGTGAGAAACAAGACTACCCAAACCAAAGCTTAAGTAATCTGATACCTGAAGGGAGACGGCCGCAAAGTCTATAGGCAACACGATTAAGAATGATGGTAAAGGCTTTTACGCTTCTGGGCGAACTCTACTCCATCTTGTAGGCTATATTGGGCCTCTTAACAAGTGAGCTTGGCATTTTATTGTGTCATAGATCATTACATTTTAGGTAAATAAACAACCTTCACACATTCTATCTATAGTCCATATAATTTTTATTATAGCACCAACACGTATAAATCAAGGAAAAATTTGTTCAAAAATACTATTTGAACTCGTAGTAGGTTCCCATTTTGGGGTACCCTATTTGTACTCACCCTTATTGTGTGACTTAAATGGGGTAATTCATTTACGTGGGACAACTCATTTAAATGATTTGCTTTTGTGAACCACACAATAGGTAAGGTACAGATAGTTACCCCCCGTCCGGCCTCCTCCATTTGGGGGCCTTCCCGGTGGTATTTTTTGCTCAAATTTTTTGTGTATGTTCCTCAGCAAGTCTAGTTCATCCATACCAAATTTCAGCAAAAATTCAATCGGGAAAGTCGTCAAATGATTTTTGAAAGTTAACTGGTCCGGAATATGTATTTTCCGGACCAGTTAACTTGCAAAAATCATTTGACGACTTTCCCGATTGAATTTTTTGCTGAAATTTGGTATGGATGAACTAGACTTGATGAGGAACATACCCAAAACATTTGAGCAAAAAATACCACCGGGAAGGCCCCCAAATGGAGGAGGCCGGACGGGGCTCTGGTCAGGAAATTCCTGACCGGAATATTTGTGTGTGTGTGTATATCACAAATTTTATTATATGAGTGCATTGTTGAGAAAGATTCTCTATTTTAAAATAATAGAGAATATAATCTAGATTTTTTACATCTCATAAGATGACACAAAAAAATGAAAGGTACCACATTCATTTGAGGAATGTTAATGAAGGTGCTCGTTAACTCAAATAATAATTACTAATGAAGATGCTTGTTATCTCAGATAATGATTACAATTATACTAGGTGTACATCATTGCATACATCTGTGTATATCCTGTACAGGGGGTTAAAATTTACTACTATGCATTCTTTAACTTCCCTCCCTTTCTCTCCACCCATACGGTTCTCTTTTTTTTCTTTTCTTTCTTTCATCTTCATCAAATATCTTAATCCTCTTTCATATTCATCACCTTCTATATTCATAATCTACCGTACCCAACACCTCTCATCTTCACAATTTCAATCTTATTCGTCTTCCTTCTTCATTGTCTTCCATCTCCATCACATTCCATCTTCATCATATCATTTTGTGTCATTCTTCATCTCACCTACTTTATCATCACCTAAGTGTTATTGGAAAAAAAATTAGAGTTGAAGTTACCGAAAATGTTGCTAGAATTATTGTCTATACCATTACTACGGAGTATAATATTGTCTTTGTCAACCTAAATTTGATGAAATTTGTCTATGTGAAGATTTTAAAATGAAAAATTAGTAAATATTTGTAAAAATGTATGGATATAAAGATTTTTATGTATATAGACAACTATTGGCATGTCTATATGTTGATGACATTGGTTAGCATGTAAATCACCTTGATTTGCGGGCTTTTTTTACATAAACATTAGTGTTTTGTTGCATAGAAACACTACTAGAAAAAAGTCTATTTGCTGCGGTTATTTTGAGCTATTTGCTGCGGTTCTGAACCGCAGCAATTGGAGGAGCAGCAAAATGTGGATTAAGTTATTTGCGGCGGTCAACAACCGCAGCAAATAGGTGTGTCTATTTTTTTTTAATTTACTTATTGCGGCGGTTCCTATACAACCGCAGCAAATAGTTCAACAAAATTTATTTTATTTATTCCTATAAAAACTGCTGCTTGTTTTCATATTATGGCTCCAAATGGACAATTTATCATGCTACATATTTTCTTACTCCGTATATCATTGCTTCAAATGGATAATTTAACATGTTTTTACACCAAAGCAAAATCTTTACATACGGAGTAAAATAAAGTCACCACTCATATAAAGTAACATGTATTCAAGGTACACATCCAATACCAAAAAAAATGCTAATAACTTCGATTATTTAAAATAACCAACTTTATAAGAGTATTGTGTCCCAAAAAGGTATACAATATTACAGTGAGTACAAGGCCTTTACAAAGACTTAAACCTGCAAAAATGGTCAATCTTATACCTAATTAAAAAAAGACACCAAGGATTGAATACATTGATGCAACCTTGAATGACCCATATATCCTGCAAGAAAATAAACTTGTCCAGGACCTGCAAAAATTAAAATTTGATGACAACTAAATACAAAAGTTAAATTGAGGAGGTGGGGAAGTGAAGCTAACTTTAAAGATTGATAGTTAAAATGATTAGAATAATGACACAATTAAATGATATGAAAAATCAAACCCAAATACTACACATAAGCTAGCTGCTAGCATCTTTTTTTTGAAAGAGCTAGCTGCTAGCATTATAAATTAAAATTATCATAAGAAATAGCCCTACCCAACTAAGTAAAATTATAAAAAACCTAGCAATTTGCACATCAGATCATGAAAGCTTGAAACTAATACCAAGTCAAACTAAATCTATCAATTCGCGTCTTGAACTCAACTAAACAATAACAAGCCGAATAAATACTTCAGGTTAAAAACTAACTCATCTATTTAATTTAACCTCTAACTTCAAACCAGAGTTAAACCTAATAACTAGAACCAGTCATTTATCTACCTCTATAACACATAGTGATTAATTAATTAACTAACTAAACTATCAGATTGCCATTACTGTGCAAAATATCACCAAAAATGTCCCCAACAGAAACAAGAGAGGATGAACAGGGCAGTAGAGAAGATTGCTGACGTCACATTCAAGGCCGTTCGGACGATTGACTGGGAAGGAATGGCGAGGCTTATGGTGTCTGATAAATTATTTTTTAAAAAAACAGTTTTTTTAAAATTATTGAAATTAAATATTTCTTTTTTCGTTGTTTCACAAACTGTTTATTGAACACTTGGAATTTTTATAAAAGCATATATTTGGTTACATACATCACATAGACCAAACAAATCTGCTTATTTTAGAATTTGAATAGAAAACAAAAAGGACAAAAACTGATGACGGATAATATAATACACAAAACCAGAAACATTACCACATGAATTCCTAGGAAGCACCCGTCATAAATAAAGAAATTATTAGGAGCTGAGGTACACTAATCGGGAACATATAAGCCATATAATAACCCCAAGTCTATGAGAGTCCGTAGAAATGCAATGTCCCTGCAAAGAATCGACAAAAAGGGAACATATTGTTAGAGATATTTTCATTATATTGTGATCAATGTTTCTTAGCTCTTTATAATTAGGATTTTAATTAAATAGACTAGCTAGAATAATGAATAGGCCTTTTAAGGCAAGTTTGTAATAAAGGTTTTATACCTTTTTAGGTATGGGCCTCCTAGGAAAAGGAGCCCAAATGATTGTAAAACCTACCTTTCCCGTCAGGCTATATATATGCCTTAAGGGAAAGGCTAAGTTAAGCTTTTCGATATTCTAGTGCCGCAGTGCCTATTCTCGTGATAGAAGTTTTACGCTAACTCTCATATCATTCTGTAAACTTCTTCATCACATCAATGGAAAGCTTCATTCCCAGATCTATCTTCCATACATACATTTTATAGACTAGAAAACAGGGACCTAACATCTGGTATCAGAGCCGGAGCTGATCGATCGATTGAAGGCCGAAAAACACTCCTGCGCGATTCTTCATCGTTGAAGTTTCGCACTTGAGCGATTTCTGGTTCTACTTTTATTGTTGTTTTTACAGGAAAATGGCTGAAGGAAAAGGTTTCTACTGTTGCTAGGATCATTTCTGTAGAAAATCGCTATCTGAAACTCGGCGTACAGATTAAGCCAGTCTTGAGAGATTCTGCAGTTTTGCGCAACGCATCTGAAAGAAGAACAGGTTCACGCAAGTCTCCTGCGCGATTTCGAGTATCGCGCAACACTTCTTGCGCGAACTTGAGCTTGCGCCATCTGAAGCCTCCTGCGCGATTTGAGAGATAGCGCAACACTCCCTGCTTGCGCGATTCAGCACTTAGCGCAATATCACCTTGCGCGATCTGCATTTCGCGCAACACCATCGTCCTTGCGCGATTTGGGTGTTGAGAGATTTGTAGTTGAGCAATCTTACACTTGAGCGATCCTTTTGTAAACTTGAGCGATCTTTTTGTAAAGTTGAGAGATTGTTAGTAAAGTTGAGCGATCTTTCAACACTTGCGCGATCTTGACACTTTGCAATCAGAACAAAGACATCTGACTGAAGACCCAAACAACAGAACAGAACCAAATCAATCAACTGATCAGCCCGATCACTCATAATGGACGCATTATCAATCGGAAATGATACAAGACCCCCAATCCTACGAAGGGGTGAGTACAACGTATGGAAGAACAGATTCCTGAACTTTCTTGAGAGCAAGGACCAATCCTCAGGTCTTCTTGACTCTATCACCAATGGACCCGCTCAATTGATGATAGCTGTTGAGAGAGACAACGGGAACAACCCACCGGTGGAGATTGAATGGAGAGCAAAGACGGTAGATGAATATGATGATGAGGACAGAGCAAGACTCCGGGCAGATCTCATTGCCAAGACCTATCTGTTGCAAGCCATCCCGAACGACATCTACATGCAGATTGACAGCATGTCAACAGCAAAAGAGATGTGGGATGAGATCTTCAAGATCATGCAAGGCACGGAGATCGGAGTAAAGGCGAAGAAAGCTAGCACATTCACTGCTTATGACTCATTCAAAGCCAAGCTTGGAGAATCACTCGAGGACACCTACCTCAGATTCCTGCAACTGATAAATGAGATGAGGAAGATTGGCGTGCACAAGTCAAACATGGAACTGAACGTGAGATTTCTATCTTCTCTTGGAGCTGACTGGAAGAAGCTGAGCTCACAGATAAGGCACACGAAAGACCTTGATGAAATCGACATCCATGCTGTGTACAATACACTTGACCAGTATGCTGAAGATTTTTCTGACCTCGTGGTCGCCTCTGTGACAGCTGATAAAGGAAAGGGAGCGGTGGACAAGCTAGCTGACACCCTTGCTCTAATGCTTGACAAGCCTTCAAAGTCTGGTTCCAAGAAGGATAAAATGATGGTTGAAGAAAGTGAGACTACTGACAGTGACACAGGAATGAGGAATGATTCAGATGATGATGAGATGGATGATTTTCAGAGGCAAATAGCCCTTCTTACTTCGAGGTTCAACAATCATATGCAGATGAAGAAGAACTCCTCTAACAACAGGCTCCGCAAGTCCTCTTCCAGCAACAACAAAAGAAAAGAGCGATCTTTTGATTCTTCTGAGAATATTGTTGCTGAGGATGCTCCAAAGTGCTTCAATTGTGGGAAGACTGGACATCTGATGAAGGATTGCAGATTGCCTAAGAGGAAGAAGGATGCTGAGTACTACAAGCAGAAGATGTATCTGAACAAGAAGAAGATGTTGCTGACTATGGAAGAAAACAAGGAAAAGAGTGCTCTCATGGCTGAAAAAGACCACTGGATGGATGATTCTGACGAAGAAGAGAATCTGGCCTTGATGGCAGTCGTTGAAGAAGAAGAGAAAGAGAAGGACGATGAGAAGGAAGGAAAGTTGAAGTCAACCCCTGTTGCTGATGAAAAGGAGAAAGACAAAGCTGAGGAGAAGAAGAACCTGCCTACTGCAACCAATGCTGATATAGCAACTGCCCTGGCTGCTGAGAACAGAAATGCTGACAATGAAGTAAGTACCTCTAATTCATCTATTCATAACTGCTCTAGAACAGATATGCATGATATATTTAAGGAGCTTGAGGTGAATTACAAACGGTTGTATGAGGTATATAATCAACTGCGTGAAAAACAGACATGCTCAAACATTAAGATAATCAATTCAGAGAAAACAATCACTAAACTCACAACTGAGAATAAGCGACTTAGTGCTAGTGAGAAAGAGTTGACAGAGAAGCTTAGAACAACTGAAAAAGAAAGAATTAGGCTTTTTGGTGTCAATAATTTGCTAATGGAAAGAAGGGGTGCTCTTTATACTAAAATCAAAGAACTTGAGGATCTGTTAGCTAAAAGGGACCAAACAGATCAGACTATTTTCCTTAACCAGCCTAAGGACACTCGTTTCTATAACGCCAAAGAAGGCTTGGGTTTGACCAATCCTCAGAACCTGAAAAAGGTCAACTGTAGACAACTCTATGATGTTAGATACATGAAAATAGGATTGACCAAACTCATGGCCTTCACTGGAGCTGAAGAAACGAATGCCCTTGAGGATGAAAAGAGAAAGACAAAGGCTGGTGTAGAGGTTCCTTTTGACTACACAGAGTTAAACAAGAGCTACAAAACCAAAGCACTCCCTTTGACCCCAGCTGAAGAAATCTTGACCTATCCTCCTGAAAAGGAAGCTGAGAAAGACGGAGAGGAGGCTTCCACATCTGAACCGATTGAGAAACCAGCTTACATTCCACCGTTGGTGAGAAAGTTTGCTGAGTTAAAAGATTCTTTTGAAAAGGAAAAGCAGGTTTTAGAAAAAGAAAAGGATGAACTTTTAAAAGAAATATCTTCTTTGAAAACCGCCTCTCAGTCTAACACAGCTTCTCAATCCTCTTCCCCTTCTACTTCTGAAAACACTTCTGAAAATTCAAGCGATAGTTGTAAGACTTCTTCTTCTCATCCCAAGTCTCATTCTCCGACAGGGAAACATGTGAAGAAGAGAGTCGAGAGGAAAGGAGAGTGGATTGAAGATAAAATAAGAAGGAAGAAGAGAGAAGAAGAGTCGAGATTAAGAAATAAGTGTCAGCGGTCGAGCGCCATATTTTATGTTAAGAATAAGTCTAGTTCTAGCATTAGTGAGCCATCTACTAGTTATGCTAAGAGAGTGGCTCCTAAGTCTTCTAGTTCTAAGATTTCTGTCTCGAATCGCTGTACTAAATGTGTTTCTCTGGATTGTGTTAAATTAATGAAATGTTGTTGTTATGAGTCTGTTTCTCCTTGCAAAGCAAAAGATCCTGTGATTGTTAAGAATGTTGTGAATAAGCCCAAGATTGATAGGGTGAATGTTGAGAGTGAGGTCAAATTGCCATTTTTAAGGTATCCTCTCAAGATTCACTCAGTCAAACATCTGAAAAGGCTATCATGTGAACCAATTTTGAAAGATCATTTATCTGAACAATCACTTAGGACGAATGAAAGTTCCCTCGCTCCAAAAATAAAACAAATCAAACAAAAATGGGTTCCTAAGGCTGAAGCAGAACAATTAAAAATGAAAAACTCTTCTCAATCAGCCAGCCTAGGATCCCAAATCAAAAAGAAATTGAAACAATTGCTCACTGTTGATAAGGAAGGACCCATCTGGCGATGGGTACCTAAGCGAAACTAATCTGTTTTGCAGGTCAGTCATGTGTGGCATCTTGATTCGGGTTGCTCGTCACACATGACTGGACAGATTGAACTACTGAGCAACTATTCTGAAAGGTTTGGAGGAAATGTGAGGTTTGGGAACAATGCTTCATCGCCCATACTCGGGATAGGAGATGTCATTTGTGAGAGCGTCACTATCAGAAATGTGTCGTATGTGCAGGGACTGAAACACAACTTGCTTAGCATCGGCCAATTTTGTGACAATGGAATGGAAGTGAGATTCCATGCTAGGCAATGCTGTGTGATGGATATGGGTGGGACACCATTATTAAGGTGTCAGAGGAAAACCAATCTCTACACCATTGATCTGAAATCGGTACGATCCCCTATATCCATCTGTCTCCTGTCCAAAGCATCAGAAGAACAAAGCAGCCTATGGCACCGACGTCTCTCACACTTGAATCTGCCAGCCATCAGTTCCCTCTCCTCGAAGAAGTTGGTGAAAGGACTGCCTGTTCTGAAGAACTCCCCCAACCATCACTGTCCTGCATGTCATTTGGGAAAGATGAGGAGAGCGTCACACAAGTCAAAACAATTTCCCTCCTCATCTCGTCCCCTGGAGCTACTACATATGGATCTGTGTGGTCCGATGCGCGTGCATAGCATCAGTGGACGCAAATATACTTTGGTAATTGTGGATGACTACTCACGCTACACATGGACCAAGTTTTTGCGCTCCAAGGACGAAACTGCAAACTTAATCATGACGTTCATCAGGACCATACAGAACTATCTACAGCAGAATGTGAAGATTATCAGAACTGACAACGGGACGGAGTTCAAGAACAAG